CCCTAAACCCTAAAACCCTAAACCCTAAAACCCTAAAACCCTAAACCCTAAACCCCCATTGAACTAATCCAAACTCTCTTACACATCAACGGCCGTCTGATCCTGACGAATCATGCTACGGAACTAACACATAAATCTATTGATACTTAAACTTATACTCTAGAACACTACCACATATACTAGCACAATATTACAGTACTACATAGCTACCTGCACCGTTGCGTTCAACTGGTCAATTTTAGTAAAGTGACCGTTCTCCTGTACCGTATTTTGTTGATTTTTATATTTCTGTACATACACAGTGTAAAAGGGTGGTTATTAACGAGGAGTTTTCAATAAATCCGTTTAATTAAAGGTATTTTTCAACCAATAAGACCACATAGTTTTTGTTTTTCGAAAATTCATTTAAAATTGTTTTTTAAGTAACAAAAAATATACCACAATTCGAAAATTCATTTAAAATTGTTTTTTAAGTAACAAAAAAAAGAGTTCTACAGTCTACACTCTAGCTGGGCCTACAAATGGGCAAAAAAATATTTTGGACCTTTTACTTATTTTGTAAAGGGTCTTAAATGGGAAAAACACGTTCCACCCGGAAATAATTAAAAAGCCTCACGGACGTTTTTTAGAGACGGACAAGAAATCGGTGATAAAGTGAGGAGCGAACAAAAAACCCTTTATTACGCTCAGTATTAAATATCATTCATGGCAATAATAGTAGACCACGACGACACTAGGTTCATTACAATACACTTCTATCATTCGGGTTGTGCTCATCCAGTTTGGTTATCCCATTGTCAGTTACACCATTGTGCACGGAGCTGACAACAGTTGTCTTTAGTTCTGAATAGGATTACCACATATACACAGCGTGTCCGCTCTTTCCACAACTGCAACAATTAATTGCACCGAATGTACAAATCGATGGCCTATAATATGTTGAAGCTGCTCTTGTTGCGTAAGAGTATTATTTTATTTGTTTTCTCATACCTTATGTATGGATTATGGACTCAACAATTATTTCCTTCTGAAATGATTGAAGTTGCGGAGGAAGTTGAGGTGCGACTGAAGGACGTGGAAAGGTTCAGAGTTATTGACACTGACAAGTTTTTAAATGCAAATAGAATACAAGCTGGATCGAGAAAAAGCGTTTGCTTAGTCACTGCTGCAATAAGTGGCCCTACCTTAAGTGGTGGAATTGCATCTGCTTTCCATAATCTCGCATTGCACCTGGGAGAAGATGAACGATTCGAGGTTTACGTGTTATATACTCCACACCCGTACTACCAATCTGGAACTGTTACAGAGCATACTCGCTTCTTCAAAGAACACAACGTCACATTCATTACTTTACCTGGTGGAAGTGATAAGTATTACGGTTCACCTTTGATGGTACGTTCTTATAGAGTAATGCAGTATCTGCTGCATGCAACGACAAGGTTCGATATCATTTCCTTTCACGATTACATGGGACTTGGGTACTATACCACCATGCTTAAGAGACAAGGGCTAGGGTTCTCTAAGTCTGTTTTGATGGCGCAACTGCACAGCACCTTGCTCTGGTCGGACATATTAGGCGAACGGTCTCCGAAATCATATCATACATTGGGTTATTATCACATGGAGAAGAAAAGTATAGAATGGGCGGACGTTCGGATATCACCCAGTCGCTACTACCTCGACTGGCTAGAGTCTAGTTTCATGCCCGCACGACTCTCTAACGGGCATAATTTCGTTCTCCACAATCTCGTATATCCCCTGCCCACTCCTACTTCTGAAAAGATATCAAAATTTTCTAACCATTTAGTTTTCTTTAGTCGGTTAGAAGTGCGAAAGGGTTTGTTTGTATTTCTTCAAGCTTTGAAAAAGGAAATCAAAGGTGTAGGTGCAATTACATTTCTAGGACCCAAGGTAAATATAGACGGGGAGTCATCGATCTCTGTTATTGAGAGCTCTGTGAATAGCATTGAGTGGATCACCAGCAACGGTGTTGAAGTCAACTTCGTAACTGACAAAGGATCCGCCGCTGCGATCCAGCATATAAAAGCTACTAATGGGATAGCAGTCATGCCAACTCTAGGAGAGAACTCCCCATATGTGGTATTAGAAATGATAGCCCATCGAGTCCCTTTCATCACGACAAACGCTGGTGGGGGTTTGGAGCTTATAGATAGAGTTTCTCCGGATAATATCGTACGAGCGGGGTGTGTTAGATGTTTGTATGGTTCACTTCAAAAAGCTATGTCAGAAAATGGTCTACAACCAGTGGGCCCAAGTGTGCCGTTCGATGTAGCTCGTTCAAATTACCTCGATGTCTTGGAAGTCCTGGGGAGTTGGAACGAGCCGGCGGAAATCACTCCTGCAAAATACGGTGGCTATAGTGTGGTATTCGGGATCACATCACATGACCGTCCAGAGACACTGATCAAAGCCGTCGAAAGGTACGCGGTTCTCTTTTTGATACGCGTTTTTTTTCTTCAATTCGTAATTAAAACTTGTGTTGTCACCAAAAAAGTTTCTAACCTGTGAGTACTTCCTCTATCTCGCAACTCACAGTGTTCTCGATCAAGACTACGATCACTCTTCGATACGAATAATTGTGGTCGACGACGCTTCGACGGCGCCAGGGATAGAAAAAGTATTAGAAAAAATTCGTCAACTTGCTGTAAAGGAAAGGGTCGCAATCGATGTAATTCGTAATGAGGAGAACAAATTTGTCGCAGCTAACCGCAACTATATATTCAACATTGGAGTTGAACAACGTGCTGATTATGTTTGCTTATTGGACGACGACGATGTGTTGTACGCAGATATGACCCGAAATTTCATGACGGTCGCAGCCAATACCGACGCAGATGTGCTTGTAAGCTTGAGCGATAACTTCATATCGAAGTCGGATGGAAACCGAGTTTTCTCACACTTATCATTAGCTTTAGGAAATTCAGTGGGAGTCAATACCATAGTCAATTTCATAGGGAAAGGAACACTGTGTGCCAAGCCTAAAGTTGTGGCCTCTTTTCGAGGTCACGATGCTGATTCGGAACTATCGAACTCGCCTTTCGTCGACTGGCAAATGTTGACAAGGGCGTACCTCAACAATTGCAACATAGAATTAGTTCCTTTGCCAGCTTATCGATATACTCAAAATTCGAAGGATAGTCTTCTTCATGAACGTAATGGCCGCCATGATATCTTCAGGGGTCACATGAAAATTGTAAGAGATATTTTAGCAGGTACCCCCGAACACCTCAGAGATTTCATGTATTATAGTCTAATGAAATTACGTCGACCGGAACTGTCAAGCGATGGAATATTCTAGAGTCTATAGAACTTACTCTTCACCCATAATTGTCAGCTCAAAGCCTCAAACAACAAAAAATAAATCCATGAAGAGTTATGAGCTGACCGAGGAACATTTATTTTTCGATTATAGAAAAATCAGTATATTGTTTATTTGTACCCTTGGGGACAAGAATTTTCATTTTAGGCGAATTGTCCCTGGGTCGACGTCTCCCAACAGATGTGGGGTTTGTTCGACCTCGAGCTCTTCGCCAGCCACGAGGACCATGTCCACACCTCACTGTATACTGCACGAAGGACGTCACTGGTGCCTACGGCC